AGGTCACATGGACTCTCCCTCTATTCTTGCAACATTATTCCCATCCACCCTCCTGTCCTCCTCAGCAGTCTCTGTCCATGACCACGGCGATGGCCTGGCAGGAGGTTGCCCCAGGTCCTCTGGGTCCCCACTCCAACTCAGCCTTCATCCCTTGGCCTGGTTAGTTTTTCCCAAACGGAACTCGGATGGGTGAGCGCACTAAAACCAGTCTTGTAATTTATGAACTCCTCCAGCGCACAGGACTTCCCAGCTTTCCAGAAGCACCTTGTTCTCCTTCTGTAAAGAAGTCTGGTGCCATCCAGAGGCCACCTTGCTAATGGAAGGAGATTCCCAGACTCCTTCCACTGCGATGTGTGCTGCCTCCTGCCCAGGAAGAGTCCATGTGCCTCCATTGTGTACAGAGGTAAGGAGAAACCCACTCTGGCTTTCGAGGTCCTTGCACAGCTTGGTCCCAACCAGCCTCTCCGATGTCATCTCCCGCTTAGCTCTTGCTCAATGCCCTTCATACCATTTAGGTTAAAAAATAAATAAAAGTGGAGAGAGAGGAGGGAAGTCAAGAGACATTAAGTGTGAAGGCTACTATTTTATCCCAACACAAGGACATTCTAAGTCAAAACTCAGTCATATTTTTCCTCCTAGTGAAGAAATATATCTTATAGGCTATTCTCTCCTGCTCTATAAACAGGTTAAAAAACAGATGCTTCAGCTGTTTCTCTAGTCCCCCTTGTTTTTTTCTAAAATGAGTCCTTAATCAGTCCATTAAGTGAGACATCGCCACGTTCTTTTTATGAGAAAATGCACAAAAGCTCTCCTCAAGGAGCCCAGAGTGGAAGACTCCAGTACATGTATGATGCTACCCCGGAGCCAGTGTGCGCTCCCTTCAAGGCCCTAAGTGGGGCTCCGGCAAGTGTGAGGTGAGCCAAGCTGTAAGCTCCGCGGTATAGATTCCCAGTCAAGGTTGTGCTTCTTTGTTACAGTGAAACATTACCCATTAGCTTTTCAAATGGGTACAAATTCCTCTAACTTCTTTTATTCCTAGAGCATAAATTTCAAATGTTTGTGAAGTGAGGGAATAATTGCATTCCGTGCTCAGCCAAAAAAAGCAAGCTCGCTATTGTTCCTAAATTGGGCAGCTCTGCCTTTCTCTGTGTGTGTGTGTGTGTGTGTGTGTGTGTGTGTGTGTCCCTCTCTCTCTGCCACAAATCACCTGCTTCGTAATCCTTTCAACAGCTTTGCTGAGCATTGGGCAAAATTTCCTCTATGCATGTTTTTTTTGTTATTGATAATAATAATAGCCACAGATCTCATACCATTTAATTCCCTGGCAACCCAAGGAGAACTATTATAATCCCATTTTACAGTTGAGGAAACTGGAGCCTCAAAGGTGGGAGGGAGGCAGCTGCTGAGTGCTGGAGCTGGGGAGGTCTGGCTCTGGGCCCTTACGCCCCAAGTACTCTTCTTGAAGGGATGTTTGTTTCTTTTTAACCTCAAAGATTTTTAGAGGAAGCAACTTCTATTCACATAAATTAATACCTTGTTGTTCATCTCCAGGACCCAAGCCAGGACATGGTTTGTTAAATAATTAAACTAGGATTCCTTATAATTGTGTCCAAAATATCTTAAATTCTGCCTGATTCAGAATCCATACCAGAGTCTTATATCATGCCTCTTCACCAATGTTGATTTAAAATACCTGCTATGGACTGAATTATGTTCCTCTAAAATTTATATGCTGAAGTTCTAACCCTAGTGTGTCTGTATTTGGAGTAAAGAAGTAATTAAGGTCAAGTGAGGTCATAAGGGGGAGTCCTGATCCAGTAGGATTAGTGTCCCTTATAAGAAGAAACATCAGAGAGTTCATGTTCTCTCTCTCTCTCGCTCTCTTTCCCTCTCTCTCTCTCCCTCTGTGTGTGTGTGTGTCTCCCTCGCCCTCTGCCATGTGAGGACACAGTGAGAAGTCAGCCATCTGTAAGTAAGACAGAGCTCACCAGGAACTGAATCAGCAGGCACTTTGATCTTGGACTTCCCAGTCTCCAGAACTATAAGAAACTAGAGGCCCAGTGCACAAAATTTGTGCACTGGAGGGACGGGGTCCCTCAGCCGGGCCTATGCCCTCTCACAGTCTGGGAGCCCTCAGAGGATGTCCGACTGCCAGCTTAGGCCCACACCGCCGCTGTGCCAGCCATGAGCCCGGCTTCTGGCTGAGCAGCACTCCCCCTGTGGTAGTGCACTAACCACCAGGGGGCAGCTCCTGCGTTGAGCATCTGCCCCCTGGTGATCAGTGCATGTCATAGCAACCAGTCGTTCCACCATTCGGTCGATTTGCATATTAGCCTTTTATTATATAGGATAAGTTTCTGTTGTCTAGCCACCCAGTCTAAACATCATGGCAGTCTGAGCAGACTGAGCAATATCCAAACACTTGTTCTCAATTCTTCTTCTTAAAATGCCATGTCCCCAATCCCAAGCTGTGAGCTCATCACTGTTACAGCAAAGGCCTTCTGAGCCACTCTTAGATATGGGCACAGAAACAACCATTTACACAACACAAACTCAGCATAAATCTAGTTCATTGGTCTCTGTTAATAGAATGTGAGCCCATTCAACTGCCTCTTTATGCTCAATGGGTTTTTAATATATTTTCATTCACTCTCAGCTCTCTTCTTCCTCTGAGACGGGTAAATGGTGTTGAGCCATTTGTTTATAGAATGGATTTCCATTGTCTTCCTGCTTGCTTAACCTAGAAATGCTAACTTTAAAAGAATTGTTATTGTTGTTTGTTTGCAATGTTTGTGAAATGTTATTTCATAACAGCTATACTTTTCTTTTAAAAATTACTTTTGCATAGTGCAGTGGACTGAATAGTGTTCCCCCCAAATTCACATCCATGCATAGCCTTATAATATGACTTTTTTTTTAGAAATAGAATCTTTGAAGTTGTAATTAGTAAAGGATCTCGAGATGAAATCATTCTTTTTAAAAAATATATATTTTTATTGATTTCAGAGAGGAAGAAGAGAGAGATTAAAACATCAATGATGAGAAAGAATCATTGATTGGCTGCCTCCTGCACACACACACACACACACACACACACACACACCGCCAAACTGGGGATCAAGTCCACACCCCAGGCATGTGCCCTTGACCGGATTCGAACCTGGGACCCTTCAGTTCGCACGATGCTCTACCCACTGAGCCAAACCGGCTAGGGCGAAATCATTCTTGATTGAAGATGAGCCCTACATCCAATGACTGATGTCTTTATAAAAGGTGAGGACAAAGAAACACAGAGATTGGAGTGATGCCGCCTATAAACCAGTGAATGCTAGGAATCTCCAAAAGTCAGAAGAGAGAGAGAGCTCATCAAGGTGGAGGCCAAGCTGGCAGAGGATACTTGTGACCTACACTCACATCCCCTCCTGGGCATGACACCAGTCAGAGGCAAGAATTCTGCAATACCCCACCTGTCCCACCCTTCCCCAGGCTTCATACCACACTGGGGACTGGCTTTGCAATAATTTTTCCTCCAACATTCAGATGCCAATTAACATTAAAATTCGTTTGGCTAAAGAAGTCTGGCCAAGACTTCCTGCCCCAGATTCAGCTGGGTCAGGCAACCCCAGTGTCTCCCTGGGTCTGCCAGGCTCACTGGCAGCCCCTCCGACAACATCAAATGCAACACAACTCAACAAGCAGGGAAGATGTGCCTGGAGGTCAGTCTTCAAATCAAATTTGTGTTTGATCATTCATCCATCCAACAAGTATTTATCCCAAACCTCAGTGTATAGGGTGTGGCTGGACTAGGGCACAAAAAAGGCAACAGTCACTGGGGTTTTCACAAGGGAGTTCCTCTTCCTGGAATGGCCTCATGGCTCCCACCACCATCACCACCTTTCCACCTGCCCACTCCCAATCCCTTCATCTGGTGAATTTCATCCCTATAGGCAAAGTTCAGGGACATCTCCTCTTGACCACCTCCCCCGCCCCCTTGCTGTGCTCCCACAGGACCCCACCCTGTGATTAACTCTATCCTGCACTTGACCTGCTATGTGGTAACCACCTGCCTCTCAGTCTTCCATTTTCTCTACACTGAGACTTTCTCGAGGGCAGGAATTGGCTTTTTCTCTATATATACGTAGTGCCACCCAGTGCCTCTAAATGTCATTGAAGCAACAATATGTGTTGAATGGGTATTTTTTGACCAAACTTCTCCATTACAGATTCAAAAAGTGCTACATCTGAAAAATTAACCCATAATGCATAGAAAAGAGCCTCTGCTCTCTGTCCTGAAAATACTCAGCCAAAATACTTGTCAAGTCTGTGCATGTAAAATATCCCACAAGGATAAGCAGTGGCAGGAACTGAGTGAACAAAAGCTATCGTGGTATCATTGCTGCTATCATATTGATAATGTTAATGATATTCGTTATTTAAAAAAAGGAGCTAAATCTGAATACAGGAGGGACCAGAGGCCAAGAGATCATGACTTACCATGACTTTCAATCCAGCGCTGTGGCCTTGGACAAATCCTACTGAATCCAGCAGTATCCTCATCTGTAAACAGGAAGTGGAGCTCCAGGTCATTTCTGAACTTCTCCCAAGTCCCCCTGAGTCTGTAACAGGTGACACTGTCAGCCTGTAGCCCTCATCACACCGCCCTTCCAGGCCCAAGCACCAACTGAACTCAGTGTTGAGCGAGGTCAATAGCAGGCCTCAACCTCAGGCTCTGCAAAGCTGTCCGTGATGACATCTGTTCCTCCTCTGGTGCATGTTGTCCAGACACTTGTCCGCACCATGCATTTCTCAAGCACATGGATAGGGGTGACCCCCTGTGGTTCTGAGAGCCAGCCTGAAAGATCCCGTGGCACCGATTCTTGAATACTTGTTGGCCGTCCTTTAAAGAGCCCCAAACTGGGTCTTAATGAAGAGCTAACACTGATACTTACATAACACACTCTATGTTAATTATAATTGTTTTTTTAAAAAAGCTTATTGTCATGAAATTTCAGAACAAAAGGGTTAAAAAGAAAATTGTAAAAGCATCCCTATTGGGAATAATAGGGAGCAGAGGAGAATTACCCTCACTACCCTTCTTTAGTTCTTATATTTGAACTAGTTATACTAGTAAAGTAATAAAATAGCCCAGCCAGTGTGGCTCAGGGGTTGAATGTCGACCTATGAACCGGGAGGTCATGGTTCAATTCCAGGTCAGGGCAAATGCCCAGGTTGTGGGTTTGATCCCCAGTTGGGGGTGTGCAAGAGGCAGCCGATTAATGATTCTCTCTCATCATTGATATTTCTATCTCTCCCCTCCTCTATGAAATCAATAAAAATATTTTTAAAAAATAAAGTAATAAAATAGACACAAGACTACATGAACAGGGGGAAAAACAAGTGAATAGATGCACAAGGAGTGATCACATAGGATGTTCAGATCACGAAATGAGGCTCCAAGAGATGATTGAACCAGGCATATTTATATTTGTTTAAACAAAGAAACAATAAATACATTTGTGAGAAACGGACAGGACAAAGAAAGTTAGTGCTCATGAGAAAGGAATCTAAGCAAGGTGTGGGCATTCCCTAGTGAGAAATCTAAACAAGTTTGGGGCTTGGGTAGTCAATGAGTGAAGGTATTATTACACGGTTTGTTTAGACAAGCTTTTCTGACTCTAGATTTTCTAACTGATAAGGTGTCTCTGGGCCCCCCAGAAGTGGAGGGCACCGATGATGCAGTTATTTCCTGCTTTTAGGACAGAGCAGAGTCAGAGAGGTCCTCCCACTACTGCTGCTTCCAGTTGATTTTCTTTTCTTTTTTCTTCTTTAAATATATTTTTAAAATATATATATGTTGATTTCAGAGAGGAAGGGAGAGGGAGAGAGAGAGATAGATGCATCAATGACGAGAGAGAATCATTGATTGGCTTCCTCCTGCATGCTTCCTACCGGAGATCAAGCCCGCAACCCAAGATGTGCCCTTGACCGGAACCCAGGACCCTTCAGTCCCCAGGCCGATGCTCTATCCACTGAGCAAAACTGGCTAGAGCCCTGTAGATTTTAGTTTGAAATAATCAATGTGCCATTGTGGGACTTCATGGGGCAGCTTGCCTGGGGCCTCCACAGGAATCAGAACTGCATGGGGTGCTCAACCAGGAACTGGAAGCTGGGAGTCATTTCCCATCAGAAATGTGAGAGCTGAGCCCTCACATTTCTGATGGGAAATGACTTCTAGTCAAATAATCACAAATAATCACAAAGGGAGAGGTCGGACAAAAGACAGTTCCAGGCCTGCATGATGCAACCCACCCCTTACCCTCCCATGCTCACCTCGACTCTGCAGCACAGCTGACCCCTGTGGGCAGTGTCTCAGGTCTCCATGCAGCTGGCTTCCAGCTAGCTCCCTGTTCCATCCATTTCCAGCTGGGGCCAGCTCACCTCCCAAAAGGCAAAAATTGGTTCTTGGTGGGGGCTGTGTGAAAAAAGTCTTATTTTTGTATGTATAAAGCACACTACAAACTACATAAACAGATACACAGTATATCTGTGGTCTGAAAATCGTATGGGGGAGAGGCTATTAGGAAAACAAATGTCTGAAAAGTCTCCTGGGGTAGGGACGATAGTTGTTTTAAAAGGCTGAGAAACTCGGGTTTAGTCGATGGAAGACACTGGTAGGAGACTGGGGAGAGAAGCCATTGGAGAAGGAAGCCCTTTCTTCACTCTGCCTCTCTCCTCTCTCTTCGTCAGCATCTAGCAGTGGCCACATCTCTTCCTTAAACCTAGAGTGTGCTCCCGCTACCCAGGCCTGGGCCCCAGCTGCACTGCCTCCCATCTGTGGGTTCAGGCTGGGCGTGGCAGCAGCAGCCTGCAGTTACCTACCTCTGAGTTGCCTCACCATCTTGTTTGGCTTCTTAGTTCTCCCACCACTTACATAATCAACCCCTTGATTAAATTCCTTCTGTTAATTATGAGAGGGACATGAGCCACCCTGTGTGGCTTCATAAGCTATGTACTTCATAGTACTGGACAAAACATTTGTAAACTTTGATTAAAATATTGCAAAGCTTCCAGAAGGAATAGTGGTTCATATTTTAAACTTAAATAATAATAGCAGGCCCCAATCAAAAGGGGCAGGAGGCAGAGTGAAGACAGGAATAAGCAATGTTTTCAGTTCTTGAGGACAGACCATGTGTCACTTTGTTGGGTCTCCTGGAGTCCAGCACAGCATCTACAGAGAATGGCAGGAGGGGGATTCCTAATGAATGTTGGTGGGTGGGACAAAGTGGTGCAGGGGGGTCCGAGGTCCAGGGTCTGTTGACACAGACCAGTGGCTGCCCAGTAGCAGCATGCTCCCCTGGATCCTCTCCATTTGATTGCCCCAGTGCCCCACCATAGTCAAACTGGGTGTGTCCCACCCATGATCCCATCCATTTCCTCCCTGGACAGATGGGAGAAGGTTGTTAAAAGAATCTGAGGGCCTGGTCGGCATGGCACAGTGGTTGAGCATTGACCTATGAACCGGAGGTCACTGTTTGATTCCCATTCAGGGCACATGTCCGGGTTGCAGACTCAATCCACAGTGTGGAGTGTGCAGGAGACAGCCGATCTATGATCCTCATCATGGATGTTTCTCTCTCTCTTCTGCTCCCTTCTCTGAAATCAATAATTTAAAAAAGCATCTGAGGTGTCTGTATTCCTATTTAAGACAATGACAAGAAGCCCCCCTTCTCCTTTTTACTCATAGGGAAATCTCAAAGTTCCATAGGACAACTTGAGCTCGCTCTTCATTGATGAACCCATCCCCGCCTCGCAGGATTTTTTTTTTTTTTTAAAGAGGGGGAACAAAGGTCCTTTCAAAATCTATTCTCAGTCCTACAGTGAGTGGCAAGGCTCAGTTTGCCTCCATCATCTTTCTTAGCCTCTGTCACCATCGCTGGTAAAGGTGGGCATTGTGTGAACAGCACACAGGGATACCCACTTGTTCCACTGACTCGCCCAATGGCTCCCAGCTCTGTTCAAGACAAACAAGAAGAAAGAAGAAAAACAGAGGGAGAGGGAAGGAAGGAGATGGACTTAGATCTATGGGCTCGGAAACAGACTGGTGATTGTGGATTGTTTTTCTTTCTTTTTATTTGTATTCATTTATTTGCTTATCTGTGTTTTCTAATTTGGCCCAAAACAGGGAAGAAAAAGCTTTGGAGTTTTATTTTATGTCAGACACTAAAGGGGAGAGGGAAATAGCAAAGAAGACACAAGGGAAATTGCAACAAAGACACAAAGGAGATGCCCACCTGTTAACCCTGGTGCTCACCGGGCGAGCCTGGGGACATCACTCTTCTCATTCCTTTCCTCACTCACCTCTTCTACTCTTCCCACAGTGACCATTCTTTGTTTCGCTTTTATAATCATAACAACTAAAATCTCTGTAAACAAAATGAAAACAAGATGTCTTGTTTTTTAATTTTTTTAAATATATGTTTATTGATTTCAGAGAGGAAGGGAGAGGGAGAGGGAGATAGAAACATCAATGATGAGGGAGAACCATTGATTGGCTGCTTCCTGCACACCCCACACTGGGGATCGACTCTGCCACCCAGGCATGTGCCCTGACCGGGAATCGAACTGTGACCTCCTGGTTCATAGGTCGACACTCAACCACTGAGCCATACTGGCTGGGCTTGTCTTGTTTAAAAAATTTTTTTGAAAGACTAAACCATAATAAACAGTTGTTATTTCTGAATGGTAAGATCTGGGGCACTTTTTCCTTTTTGCTCATCGCTGATGAAATTTCATGCCCAACTGAGCTGGAATTTGGTTTCATATATATTGAGGCGCCTTCCCCACACTCCCCCTTGGAACAGAGGAAACAGGAGACAGTGAGAGGAACAGCTCTCCGGACCCATCAGGGGTCCCCTGGCAAGCAATCAAGGTCCTTAAAGCTCTGCCTGGGCCTCCCCTCAGGACCCAAACCTCCTCCTCGCTCCCTTGCACCGACTATCTGGGTTCTCCTAATGGGCGGTCAGGGCTCTTTCAGGCCTCTGGGCCTTTGCACATGCTGTTCCCTCTGCCTAGAAATCCCTTCCTCTTCTACTTTTTTTTTTTTTTTTACTTTTTCCATATTTTATTAAAATGTGTTATATATTTTAGCTACCCACAGTTAGTCAACCGGAAATTTCAAAGAGTCCTTAAGCCCTCCTGGTAGCTCCATTACCCAGTGGCACTCTGGATAGTCTTACAAAAAAACAACTTGCTCACCATAGTTTGTAAACGGGATTTGACAGAGGTACAGCAATATCTCGTCTGCGTGGCCTCCAGTCCAAATTCTGAGTTTGCTCTCACAGCTTCTTGGCAGAAGAAACGAACTAGCACATGTCTGGCCTTACTGTGCCACCCTCCCCCAACCCCGAGCTGCCACTCTGGATGCCATTCTTCCCTTAATTCTCAAATCCTTCCCAAGGCCTTCGTACTCTATCTCTCAGTGCTTCGTTGCCACTAGGACTACATTGGGTCTCTCCTTCTGGTGGTTTGATGCTTGGTGTGGAAATTCACAACAGCCGAGGAGTCTCACTCCTCTACCTAGGGTACCATGTATCTTAGTTATCTTCATCCCCTTCTTGTCCATGATGACTTACTGACCATTATCCTCCCATAAACCTAGAACCAACCAGCCTTTCTCCAAAATTCACCGATCTTCCCGTTGAAGATCTTAATGGTTTAGAAGCATTAGCTCTGGAGTCAGAATGTTGGTCTCAAAACCTGATTTACCACTTAGCTGCCCTCTGACTCTGGGCCAATTAGCTTCTCTAGGCTTTCGTTTCTCACTTGTAACTTGGGGATAATAGAAATAATACTGATGTCAAACAGTTGTTTTAAAGATTACGTGATATCATGTATGTAAAATACTTAGAATACAGTGCATAGAAGCCCTTAAACATATCTATTACTTTTACCATTTCCCCCCACATTTTAACACAACATTACAAATGGAAGAAATGAAAAAATAAAATAGTCCAGGGCTAAAAATATTCAAATGCCTACAGGGCCCAGACAGGCAATATGATTGATATGATTGAAGCAAGCTTAAGGGGTGGGGGATGGGGAGGCAGGTGACCTTGCTAGAGGGACAGCTGCTATTCAGGGTGAAGTGTATTTCCCTTCCTCTTCTTCACCAGGACATCCTCAACTCATTCTTGAGAACTAAGCTTTGGGGGCTCCCTCCCCCAGGAAGCCTTCCTGGCCCCCACCCAAGTGATTCCGCCCTGGCAGTTGGGGCACAGGACTATAACTATCTGCTTGCTTGGGCATCTCCCTGCCAGTCCTGGGGCCAGGGACTCGGTTTCATGGATCTATTAGCATTTCCGGTGCCTGACACATAGAAGACCCCCCATACATGTTTGGTTTCTTCAGTATTTATTGAGCACCTGCTATGCCTGGCACATGCTCACCACAGTTAAACAAAAAGTCCAGCTTGTTGCCATCATGAAGCCAGGACACAGACAACCAAAAACTTAAATAAGTATATTACAAGTGGAGTCACAGTAAGTGCCAAGAAGAGAAACTAGAGCAGGTGACAGGGATGGGGAGTGTGCTGGGAGGGGCGACTGCTGTTTCTCACACAAGAACAGTGGCTAGTACCCAGGAGGTGCTCAACATGGATTGATTGATGGGATAAAAGAATGAATGAATCAATGAATGAATGAATGACTCGCTCCCCAAACAGAATAAACTCCCTATGGTGTGTGATTTGTACCTTGCCTGTAGTGAATCCCAAGTGGCCACATGTTGCAGCTATTTTTTTTAATTGTGGTAAAATACACATAAAATTTGCCATGCATCAAGATGGAAATCTTCCCCAGGGTGTTGGGAGAATAGATTAAGTGGATTACTTTTGATAAAGCACTTATGGTCTGATGCACAGGAGTGTTTGTTAAAGACACTGTGGAGCAGAGGCGCTAGGGCACAGGGGCCAGTGGTCAAGGAAGCCATGGAGGGGCGTAGATGGGGCTCCCAAGAGGAGAAGAAAGCCAGCCTTCGCTGCTCTCCTTCTATATGTCTGCACCTCTCATCCCCTTCCCAGTAACTGCTTCAGTTTAACGCTGTTCCCACCGCGGCCACTAGAGGGAGCCACTTCCTCCCGCGGCTCCCTCTCCCTCTCCCTCTCCACCTGACACAGCTTCTTTGGAAAATACCCATCTTTCTTCTATGAAATCCCATAACTTGGATCTTTCTAAAACATTGTTCACCTAGAAACCGAGTCACCTATTGAATCACACAAATTCAAACCAAAGTTTACAACGTTTGGGGACCCACCTTGCTCAGAGGCCACACTGAGCCAAACCAAGAGCGTCCGGACAGGTGCCCTCACTGTCCGCTCTGGGGACCCGGGCCTGACCCTTCCTCTGGGAGGAGAAGACTGGCTGTGGGTCCTGGAGAGGGGAACACTCTCCTGACCTCCTCACCATCTCTTCCTCCTCCCCAGCCCCCTCCCTGGAGGCCAGAGGCTGGGCATGGGGCTGGGGCCAGTGGTTATTTCCTTCCAGGGGAGCAAAGAGGCCACGGACAGATTGTCAGGGGCCCAGACTCCACAGCCCGAGGACCTGGGCTCGCTGCTCTGAGATGATTTCCTCCTGAGACCTTCCTGCCTGAGCACCACAGGGAGTCAGCAACCCAGTGAGACCCGTGAGCCCTGAAGAGACGTTCTCCCTCACACAGAGCCTCCCTGTGCACGGCCGGTGTGGGACTGAAGTCTGAAGCGCTGCTCATCCTCTATCCCTGGGTCTGTGTGGCTCCCTGGCTACTTAGAAGAAGAGAAAGAGAAACAGGGGGAGGAGCATACATGAGGAAGATGCGTGAAGAGAGGGAGGGAAGGAGGGAAAGAAAGGAGGGGAGAGGGGGGGAGAGGGAGGGAGAGGGGAGTCCTGGAGGGTCACTTGCTATGCCATTAGCTTTCTAGAATCGTGCATCCATGCTCACGTCTCTAATATTTCATGAATTTCATTCTGGGGCTCTGGGGCTCAATAGTTCGAGTCACCCCTTAATTAACTAACTTCATGTGCATGTCCAACCTGCTCTGAACCCTGCCCGGCCCGGCTCAGGGGGGCAGGAGTGGGCACTGGCTTCTCACCCACCGCCCTGCGATCTCGGAGGGAGTCCAGCGTTCACTTCAGTATGTTCTCAGAAGCATCCGGCACTCAAGTGCCCTAAGAACACGCCACTTGTTTCTGCTTAATCGCTGGAGAGGCTTCAAGCCCCACAGAAGGAGGAAGGAAAACAGCACAGTCCCATCTGCACCTGGAACTCTTCACTCCCAGGTACCAGGTACCAGGAAGCCAAGGACAGAAGCAAGGCTTTCCTGGTAAGTCCTGCCCAGAGGCCGATTGCCCCACAGCCCTCAGCTTCCTTC